AAACATATCCTACATTAAATATACTGTATGTAAAAGAATGGCTGTCCAATTTCAAGCAAGCGTTTTAATAGGCTACAATGTAATAAGACTACAAAAACACACATGTACCTGGATGGGATTTCTCTAATGAAATCATCTCTAGCCAATACGCTGAGCCATATCTTGCGTAATTAACTTTATCGCACGCAAAAAACCAAGGGATCATTGATCGAAATGATGACAAATGAAGGTTCCAATCCACTTCTCTGGTTGCTCGGATGAATAACAGAAGTATGCCTAGAAAAATAAAAAAAGAATTAGCCTTTGAAATACCTTTTTTTATTTCAGATACATTTGTAATACTGTAAGCCAATTAATTACCAGTCATTTGAATGTACATGCTCCAGTAGGCAAAGGTAAGTGATCTAGCTGATGACTCGACAATAAAGGCTTCGTAACGCTCACATAGCTGTTCCATTTGTTCACTATTGATATATTCGCGTAGTTGATCCTCTTCAAACGCTTTTTTCATGGTTTCAACAAACGATGAGATGTCTTCTTGGCTTTCGTCGTCTAGCGTGTCTAGAAATTCTTCAAATCGTAGTCTTTGCAGAGCTTCGTACATAGTCTTGTGACAAAGCAGGGAGCGGTTATAGTGTTTGCCTGACATAACACCCTTTATGGAGCCCTCACTCACTATTCCAGACTCGATAAAAACATCCTGTAAAATAAATTAAAAACCATTTAGTGATTGTTTATATACAATGAATTTTATTATATGATCTTTTGAATTTCCTGCACAGGAAAATATATCTCGAAGAGATATTTCAAGATAATTGCGCAGCAGAATGCTTTTAAGTATTTTAAAATCCTTGAAATAAATGACAAAAATGAGTTTTAACTTGCCTTTAGCCCTCCATCTTCAAAGATCTTAGATATTGCTGACAGGAATGACATTATTGCATGGAATTCTCCAAGACGTACTATGAAACGGTCGTAGTAGGTGTCATTTTTCCATCGTACATGCTGGATTTTGGCGTAGACAGCCTCGTCAAATACCAGAGTCGCGTACTGAAGCTGCAGCTGGTCTGCTATCTTGGTGCTTCTTTTAAGGATCGTATTAATGGTGGAATACTCTGTCGGAGACGCGTCGATGACAGGGAGATAGCCAACTCTTGAGATACTTGGGATGTTATCTTTGCGCAGGAGGGTATTAAAACCTGTCCATCTAGGAAGTACAGGCAAGTCATCTGAAGGCACCATTTTCAGCAGTACATACGTCAGATCGAGAAGTTGCGCGGCCTCTGATGCAGCTGTTTGAACCATGACATTACCAGTAACCTGTTCTATTTCAATATTAAATCTTGGTGTCTTCTTATTCCCAATGCTGAATGGTATTATATTTTGTTCCGGCACTTGTACTGTACGCTGCGACTTTTGTATGTTCACTGTTTCTCTTTCAGAAGTAATTTGATGGCTGTGTGAAACTTTCTGAGTAATTATACCATTTGTTACATGTGTCTGTTTCTTGACTTCTTCGCCAAAATCGATGTTATCATACACTAAGTTAATCGATTGACCTGCGACAAATTCTCTTGGAACAATGTCAGATGTTTCGATGACAAGTTGCGCGATGGCAGAGTCGTATGCCATTGTTGACGACAAAGAAACACAATGTCCTAGACCATTCAAAATATGAATCAAACCTGAACATCCAGAAATTTGTCTTACTGCCATTGCCAGTGCCAAGGACTTTGGAGTTTGAGTTCTACCCTTGTTGGCATTATAAACCAAGTCTTGACACATGGAGTACACTTTAACTGCATATTCTTCGTTCATATCCACGTAGCTTGAGACCTGTGGCTCCTCGGAGTATCCAAGTAACCACGCCACAAAATTATATAGAAGAGGGGATACCACTTTCATAACGCTTTCTCCAGTGATGTCAGAAGCAAGAGGAGGCCAATTCTCATACCATGACGAGCAATATTCTAGAATGTTTTGCCTTAGTGCAAGTGCGACTACGTACAAATCTTTCAGTTCTATCGTCCTCTTAGTCTTGTTGGATGTCTGTTCACATTGCTTGGGCTCATCTTCGTCGTCTTCTTCATCATCTGAAGTATCTGATTGACTGTCACTCTTTGTAGTCAACAGCCTCTCTACCACACTTTCCCGACTTAAGTCTTCAACGTAGACAAATTCATTTTTGTTTCGTACCTTTGGTGTATGGAATACTAATTGAGGAAATCGTTTCTTCAGCCTGTTTCTCAATCGAAATGTTGCATAACTTGAAGCATCTTGATTTTCTTCTTTTCTCACTGTATTGACAAATTCGGTTTTGAGTCTAATCATATACCAAATGCCATGGTTATCAATGACTTGTTCTTTTACGATGGTGCAAAACTTATTAAACGACTTGCAGTACATTGTATTTTCTATGGCTGAATCGTTGGTTTCTGGATGGTTCAAGAACGATGTGTATTTTTGATAGCAACATTTGTGATACTTCACCTCAACGGCGACACAATCTTTGTCCAATATATGGATAAGAATCCGCTGGTCGTTCTTTCTCGTCGCAGCTTCTCTGAGCTTCCCACCGTCGATTGTTTCCGCTGAGATCAGCTGGCCCAATTTGCGTTTTTGGGTATACTGTTGAGTGATAACAATACAATGAACTTATGAGTTAAAAGGGTGCGGCTGCAGAAAACATTTGACATGTTTGTGAAATTTATCATAGCATAGATAGTATAATATGGTTCAATACAGAAAGAAATAAGCTTTTGCGTTTTTCTTAAAACGACGTAAGCCAATGACGTAAGAAGTGATTGAGAATTTGTTAATTCTTCAGTACATTTTTAAAATTTTAATTTGAATAATCTATCACTATATGTGACGTCCAGTGTAACAATTAGGTACTTAATGTCCCCCTTCAAATGACAAAACATTTATATGCCCTGCTATATACCCTATGTCAGTGGCTCTGATATAGACTGAAAATATGTAATGATCACTTACCGTATCAGTGATATAAATTTCATCCTTATTACAAATAATGCATGCTGGTGGGAGTATAGAGCTGGATTGCGATGTTGTGGACGTACTTGGCATTGAAGACCTCAGCATCTTTTTGGGGGGTGGGCTACAAGTTGGTTCTGTACTGATTGTGTCTTGTTGATTTTCTACGGATCTGTTCGCCATAATTTTAGCACATCGGGCTTGAGAACGTTTGATATTTGTAAGATTTGTAAACTTTGAATAACAGCTTCTATGGTAATAAAAATTCCCAACCGCTGAAGACTTGTCGTCGACATCCTGTAAAACACCCTTTGATTTCTCTGCTACTTGTCTCTGCTGCCCATCCAAATCTATCCAGATCTCATGACAGTGCCGAAATTTTTCAAACGAAACACTTGTAAATGGTGTCAGGGGTCCGTTTCCGTCTTTAAAATGGATACAACATCGTGGAAGCGCCATGTTATCCGGCATTTTACAAGGCCTGTAAGTACTTATGAGCCGGGATTGTCAGCGGATACCCCCTCTAACATAGCAACTGCGCGTGCGCATACAATAAAATCCAAGATGGCGGACATCAAAACACGAGTAAAAAATTTCGAACTTTCGAGGGTTTTTACTAAAAAACAGCAGGATTTCAGAGGTGCCAACAAGCATATTTGTATTCAGTAGGTAAAAATCTATAGATTTAAGTTGTTTTTAAGTAGACCCCGTAAAGTTTATATTTTTTGAACGATAATCGACTTCAGAATACGGCCTAAACAGAAATAAATATATTTTAAAAACTGGCTGTGGCCTCACGATAAAACTTTCTAAAAATGTTCTCTGTTTCATGTATTTTTATTTGATATCTTAAGTATAAGCATAAAAATAGGGGCTCATACAGTTTACAAGGTTGTAAAATGCATGACTGTTTCAGATCGAATGCACACGAACAGTCCACCAGAGACAATGCCAGGGTACTGAAATAGAACGTCACTAAAAAATTCTGTATTATTAATTTAGATCATGTCCGTTTTCAACATAAAACAGTAATTTATTTTGGCAATATTTACACGATTGTGCCTTTTTGTAAATACGTGTTGCGTGTATTCCACGCAATTGCGTGGCTCATTTTGCTTGCGCATGCTCAGACAAATTTCCCACCTGTTTATCCTATAGAATATTCCATAGAACTTGCGATCCTATAGAATATTCTATTGCCATATTCTATAGAACTTCCAGATCCTATAGAATATTCTATTGCACATTCATATGAAACATCCAATAGCATATTCTATAGAATATTTTCTATTTAACAATTAGTCGCCGAAGGCGAGGTGATTACAAGCCTATATTCACTGAGCCAAAGGCGAAGTGAATATAGGCTTGTAATCACCGAGCCTGAGGCGACTAAATGTTTTAGTATAAATTTCCAGGTGTTTACAAACAATAATCCACACAACTTTATAAAAATTCACTTCAAATAAATTTATTTTCACTATAAATAGTTTGTTTACAAAATTTAAATCTCAGACACGGCTCTGTGTCGCGTTGCGACTAAGCCAGTTTAGTTTTTTTTCCAAATAAAAGCACGTAAAGTTTAATATTTTACCTTGAAATATTTTTAAACTATATTTTGTAGCTTGTTTGGGTTTTTCGGAATGATATCTTCTTTAATTTTGGCAATTTCCTCCTCTGTTACTACGGCAAAACGAGCAGCCATTTTGAAAAAAAAGCTATAGTCACTGACCAGTGACTATCACTTCAGAGACAGTGAATCTTGACCAATCAGAATGCAGAAAAATCAATAGTCACCTGGAAATTTATACTAAAATGAAATAGTAATAACTTACTGACCGAGAGTGAGGGCAGTACGGGAAAATATCCAACCGAGGTCTTGCTGTATTGACCGAGCGATAGCGAGGTCAATACAGCAAGACCGAGGTTGGATATTTTCCCGTACTGCCCGAACGGTTGAGGTCAGTAAGTTTTTTATTATATGGCATTGTAAGTTCGTAAAAAATGGAAGAAAATTAGGTCACACGAGGGCAAAGTACAAAGTCCGAAACAGTTTGCAAAAAAAAAACAATTGTAAAAAATGTTCTTTGGTTAGTAAAACTACTCCACAGCACTTTTTATATAGAATACTAACACAGTTTGGATATTATTTCAAGAAAAAAACGAGGTATTTCGTCATTTAATCAAAGACAAAGACATGCAATTACAAATATGAAAACAATAAAATTAATAAACAGTATGGACAAGTACGTTTTTAGTTCACTTCATCTCATAAATATGTCTCTTTTTATCGAACAAAAACAGAAATTTTCAGGAAAAAAATATATCTGTGGCTAATTTAGTTGTAGTTTTTATTTAGGATGGTGTCAAATTCCTCGGCTGTCTGCAAATAAAATTTGCAGCTCTTCACAAAGTCAAAACACAGCTATTCCTGACTGGTTTAATAGTTATAAACATTGTAAAATTTACCTTGTAATTTCGACTTTCGCTAACAAAAACATATTGTGAAAGTTCTTTAACCACAGAAGGTGCTCCTTTTCTTTAGTTTAGGTTTATTTTTCTTCGTTTTGAATACTTTGAAAGACTTTTAGACTTTTTTTGGCGTTTGAAACTCGGCTCTCGTCGCAGGGCAATAAAAATTGCACATTGCCCGTGGGCAATACGGGAAAATCCTGCCTCCTCAGCAGCCAATCAAATTGCACGATTCATCAAAACAAATGCTTGCCATATAATAATATAGGATATTCTATAGAGTATATCTTAGAATGTGATAAACCTATTGACTTAAGCCTAGTTTATTATTTATACTTTATAACAATATTATTGTGTCCCAAAAATTTACATGAAGAGAAAAGATTGATTTTAGAAAAATATTTCTTTCAAGACAATTTGTTCTTGAAACAAAAAATATTTTCTAATAATAACTTAACTGATTAACTTAAGATTCTTTAAATAAGATGTTTTAATATTTTCTGATATAATATTAGTCTTAATATAAGATAATTAGATATGATTTTCTTTAGAAGCAATAGTTCGCGCATTGACTGGAAGCCTGGTACCTAATTTACGTGCAAGGGTGCGAAACTTCATGGGATAGCGTCGTTTTAAAATTGAAATTTCAAAATACTCTTACATGTGGATTTCAAGGGAAATTTTCCCTTGAAATCAAGTAACTATCCACATACAAATAAGTAAATACACAATAGACATACATTTGAAAACAATCTCCATGTCTTTGGAACTTTATAATAGCAAAATTTGAATAAAAATCTTTCCTCTTTGAATGTTTGCAGTTTGCTTCCAAAAGATCGAACTTGGTGCTTGTTATCAACAGATCTAATTACTACAACACATGATATATTCTATGCATGTTAATTGGTTGAAACTCTGGAACTTCCACTTGCTGCAAAATATATTCAGCAGAATTCAGCAGCAGGACATTCCACAAGTTCAAATTACAGATTTACACAGCAAATCAAAAATCACTGAGCTGTATAATAGATGGAGAGCGCAACTATAGATACAGAAATTGAAGCCGGAAGTCGCGCACGGCCGTCATCTTACTGTGACCACCTTGACGAGCGAGCTATTGTGATTAATATGGTATTTTCAACTGTTTTGTTCTGTTATCTTGCAATAGAGTAACAAATCATGTCAAATATGGTATTTTAAGCAAAACCACATGTTCAAGAATGTTGGGGACCTCTTTTACATTCAAATGAACTCAATTGTAAAGAAACACGTCTATATTTTTGACAACGTTTCTGAGTGCGACTGAGATGAATCATGAATACAGTCGTGACAACACCTTTCAAATGGGAATTTCTGATAGAGATCGGTGAATTATACCATAAGTTAACACATTAGAAATGAGGAAATTGGTCATGAACTTTATTGTTTTGGAAATGGTGAATTTTAATATGGACAAGATCATAATATACTCATATCACCTCGTATTTGTTTCTATCAACGCAAACAAATTATGTCGCTTGTGGGATTTGTTAAAGGAACAAATGATTCAGGATCGTAGAAAAAGTAGCAGGTGTGTTGTAGTGACCTTATTTATGTTAATGGTGGGTGCTTAAATGCAATGCCTTGTGAGAATATATACCATCCCATCCCTGCTTGTGTAATATGTTCCTTATTAAAGTCATAGTAATGATTAATTATCACTCTTCTGAGAAGACTCAATGGTGTTTTATTCCAAAGAAGCAGATTTAAATTAATAAATTTGAAAGAAATTGAAAGTTGTAAAATAATGGTATCTCATTTCTGTGCTTTTTAGATCCTATAGAGACAGTATAAATTAAGTAAAGATGGAACAATGCTGCAAACAGTTACTTTCAGTTGCATGTCTATATATGCATTATATTGCATTGTGTAAAAACAATTTAATTGTAAAGGGTCTCTAGTATTATAGGATCTGTGTGAAATTCCAGCAGTTTGTTGCCAAATACTCATTTAGTGTGTTTTGCCAAATAAAGTTTAACTCAATTCGATCCGCCAATATAAAGGAAATATTATATAAAGGAAATATATTATACAATATAAAGGAAATATTTTCATCACATAATCCAATTATGTGCTTTGGCAAACATTACTGCCTTGGAAAACATTACTTTTTTATAACTACTAATTATGATGATGCCAGCCCAACAACACTTGGTCATGCTATTTGGAAATATTTTCATGTTCTAGATTTTGAAAACAATCAATTTCTAAACAAATGAGTAGTGATTATTTCAAATTTGAATAGCATGACCAAATTTTGAGGCTGGTTATGCCACTAATAACTAAAGTCAATGGTGTAATGATTATCTAAGAATGTATGTAGTAATTGTAGAAATAAAGACATTTTGCTAATCATGATTTGAGTGTTCTTTTGTGGGTATCACAGACTTATTTTGGTGCCATACTATCTTTGGAGAGTAAGAAATATTGGAAATTTGTATTGATAACATGTTGCAGCAATAAAAAAGGACCTTTGATAAAGGTATTTGTTTCATGTGAGCACAAAATGTAAATTTTACTCCACTACCTAGTTTATATAAAAATTCAATAAAAATATTTCTATTTATGCTACATGCATGAAACTTCGGGTACTTGTAGATCATAACCGTTTCTTTCAGTCATATTCATAATTTTTTTTGACATATTTGAAATTTGAACCGCTAAATACATTTATGCATAATTGCAACATTTTTTTATATCATGATTTATGCAAATTTATGCGAGTAAATCATTAACCACGCTCCGGATGAAATTGAAATTAGTATTGTTGGAAAGCAGAAGTCCTCCTCTTTCGAACGATGCAATTTCTGTTTCTGTGTGACGTATAATTTGAGAGATATAACCGTTTGAAACAACACCACTCGAAATTGCTACTTTTCGACCCGATGAGAATGAGTTAACTGCCTCGTATGAGGTCAAAAATGGTTGTAACAAAAATGCAGGTTGAAATCAAGCCTTCAAAA